GTGTGTGTGTGTGTGTGTGTGTGTGTACTCCATGTGCGAAGGCGGTGCGCGCGTGAGATTCGCGCAACAACCGATTCGCAATGCCGACATGTATCACGAATTGCTCCTGGGAAATGAATGTGTGCATAGGATAGAATTATCACACGTGCGTGTCCCCCGGTGTTATTGTGCGCGCAGATTAATCCACCGCTCGGTAATATTGATATCAAACTAGAATTATGTTGTTGTGCGATTGCCCGACACAATTAACAAATTAAAAATCAATCCCTTCTGCTCACATACGTAAAAAATAATGTCAGAAATTCGACGGATCTTATAACATCTACTTTAAGAATTTATCTCCAAAGGGATCTAGAGATCTACTTCAAAATTGTACTACTTAATAAGCTTCACACAAGCAAATTTATATACATAAGGAGAAATCTTGTCTTTATAAATTTTAGCATCTAAAACGGTGTAAGTTTGAATACATTAAGACACATAAATAAATATCCAATATTTAAATGAATAAGACATTTTCATATTGCATTGCAATACATAAATATGAAATATTTTGAAACAAAAATCATATTGTTATTTGAATGATATATTTAATAATGCTATTATGTATAATAGCCATTATATAATTTAACGGCCATATAATGGTCATTTAATGCTCGTTTAAAAACATATTGTTCTAGAACGTTATTATAAATATTTATAATTCAATTGTTGTAACTTCACTTCATTTTAAAATAAATCAATTGTTTTACTATTTTGTTATTAATCATTATTAAAAATTCAAAAGTACGTATTTTTCAGATTTTATGCAAGTTTTTGTGCTCCGCTGTTTCTCCGAAAGAGTTAATGCAATAGCCAATTCGTTCGAACGACAATTCCACGATGATGAATTTGTTTGTTAAACGATAATTTCACGGATGACGGATAATAATTACGAGATAAGAATTTGAAAGCCGATTCCGGGATAGATGCGAGACGAGAGAACATGACACGTGCAGCACGTCAGATTCCACACATCCGTCGCGAATCCTATCGCCGTAGCATGCGAATCCCTTAATCCGCATCCACCGCATGTAATAATTGAACCGCGCAAATTGCGAGCAGGCACGTCTCGCCAAATTACCTGGCAAAGCGGCAGAAACATTTCCCCTATGGAGTCGTCCCTCGAGAATCGATCGTAGTCGAAGACGTGTAGATGTAATACCCTGCTCTGCAGCTTCTGTATGGGAAAACCTGGGAAAAGAATGGACACATAAATACGCATACTTCGCTATATTCACAATTTTGTTTATCAATTTACGTATCTAAATTTAATGCACTTTGTTCCCGCGATAAGCATCTTTCTTCATAATTTGTATAATGCAGTCCGTCTTTTGCATCAACAAAATATTACATTCGCGTTGTGCCAACATTTCAAAAGCGTATACGTATTTCGACGTATAATTCATCCTTCGTCCACGAAGGAAAATCAGATGTAGGAAATTTACATGTATTTCAATTTTTATCTCGCAGATCTAATTCTAAGTGGAAGATTGTATCAGGCCGCTTTGTTATTTTCAGATTGTTACGGTTCGCTGCGGTTTTCTTAAATCGGCTTAACGCAATCAGATACAATGTCGTCCGTCTTACACACCCCACCCGCACACCGCACGAAGCAAAATTGCTTTGCATTTATTTCCTTCGCCGTGTTTACTCTCCGGGAGAGGCGGAGAGAGGAAGAGTTACGGTTTAGCGGACCGATGCGAGGAGCAATTGCCGGACGTGCATCGTGGTACTTACCTTCGAAATAGAACGTCTCGTTCCATCTCGGATTCAACGTGCGCCTTTTGATTTTCGTCTCGAGTCGGTGTTTCTTATCCGGTAGCAGCGTCACACGTACATACGGATCGGAAGTGCCTGACAAGTCCTTCGCCGGCAGGTCTTTACCCTGGAGCAAATCGGATAATCGGTATGAGAGGTGGAGGATGGAATTTTAAGGAACAACGAACTTTCCATCGCCCCTTAAGCTTCCCACGATTACCGTGGAATATGCACTTCCACGTGTACTTTCGCGCCGGCAAGTCACGGAAAGTGAAGTTCGATGTACACAAATCTCCCTGCACATGCAACTCTACGCATAAAGCCCGCGGCATAATGTTGTAAACAAGAGCCCGGATCCCTTCCACTCGAACATATCGTATGCATGGCAGGGTATAGTATCGTATCGCCTGAAATTTTTTTGCGGCGAACGAACAGACTAAAAAGCGAAGAAACACGGCAGAATAAGTTCCTTTCTTATATCTTTAAGAGGATAAGAAAGGATGGCAAGGAAAGTGACGACTTGAGCCGCTTTAAGTGATACGACTCGCAAAGAATGCGCAATAGAAAGTACTCGTATTTCCTATCCGAGATAGGAAGGAAGAACATTTTATTCCATATACTATACGTATAACATGAAATATGACGTATATGTCAAAATAAAAATGTGCGGTACCTGTATGGACATTGAAATCCGGCTTTATTCATATGCACACGTAAATAACTGTTGTTTCGTTCAAAATGTTATAAAACGTATGCATTTGTCTACCGGAGACTCGACCGGAGATACACGTCTTTGTTCCCGTCGCATCTTACGAAGCTCTCGTCTAAGTCTCTCAAGTCTCTGATGTGTATGTGTTTGTGTGTGTGTGTGTGTGTGTGCGCGTAAGAGAATTCAGCGCGCAACAGCTTCTATGTTGTAATATAACTAGTCCTCAGACAGATTGTGAGCATACGAGCGGCTCTTGTCTGCGCAACACAGTCGATGCTGTTAATGGGAGCTTATATGTGTGGACGGCAAGCAAAATCAATAACACAGCCCTTAACGGCCTTGATGGCCGCCTGTGTTTTGAAAAATAAGCTCCTGCCCGAAAGGGTTGCCCCCTTTCCAACTTTCCGCAATGGCCCAAGTCCGGTTTGAAAAGTCGCTCGTGGCCTTGAAGGCATTTACGCCGGAGGTGGACGGGTCATTTTTCATTTGCCTGTCAGACCATTTCTCGGAACTTCATAATGTCATTATGCCGACTCAAATTTCTCGGGCGCGAAGAACGATTCCGTGCATTTAAAGTATCGCCAAACTTACGAACAAACTTCGAAATTACAAGGAGGTTCAAAAAAAAAGAAAGAAAAGTCTAATAAGAAAAGAATTCCCGCGCGAACGTGATTGCAAAGGTAACTTTTTTTTATTTATGGGTCATCCGAGATAAATTACATCCTGCCGATTAAACAAATCGTTAATCTTCATTTAATTCCAAGTTTGGCGTAAAGCTGTCACGCGGAAGTCTGATATTTAGAATAAAATATAATTGACGTTGATAATTGAAAGGAAAATTCAAAGATGACAAGCGGAGAAGTAGCGCTCAGTCAAAATTTCCGCTAACCTTCTGTAAAGGAAAATTGGTTCCAAATTGACAAAATTTCCAACTACGACATGTACGTATAATTTCGCGACATGTACGAGGCATTTCTGTACGAGAAATTTCTTCGCGTTTACAAATTACGAAGATATTGAACGTGAATGGAATAAACGCGATGTCTTTGGTGAACGCTTGGCTGAACTTTTCGAGGTGTCGCGACAAATTTTCACGCCACGAGAGACACGACCGAAAGAGCGAGCGAAAATAGGAATTTTTAAGGACGGAAGCTAGCGGATGTTTCCGCTATCGGGGGTACATTCCGGGTCGTTTATGATGCGCGTTAGCTGCGAAAAACACATTTTGGACGAAATTAACTGAATAGTTGGGAAAAATAGAGAGATACCTCGTGAAAATCATGTTGTGCACGCGTCAAATTTCGTGTAAATTAACGAGATGATGTGGAAAATAAAAACAGTCGCGTTTTAAATAATTTTATAGATATAACTTGACGCGTTGTTAAAAAAAAAAGATATGTATATATATATATATAATAAAAAACAAGTTGCAATACGCGAAAGCGTTCTATTAAATAATTCAACAACGAAGCGATTAAATATTCGCTAAGGAAAAGAGGTCGGATGCAAATTGAGTGAGAAATAAAACTTTTAACGGCATGCTTCTTTGATAAACTGCGCGATAATGCTACGCGCAATTTCATTATAATTTTTTTCCGTTAAAAGTGGCATACTGTATACATAGTTGTATCCTCGTTGCACGAAGAAATTAATATTACATTTTCGTAATAATAATGCAATTTTACATGTCCCTACGAAATAAAAAATAGTCACATGTTAAAGCTGCAAACAACGCATTGTACACGATACAAAATGTTGTACGCATATCAACATACATCGATATTAATATGTACAGTCGTATGAACGATGTACTCAGTGGGATGCTCTGCAAATCACCTCGAGATCTTGGCACGATAATTTTCGTGGTTGGAAAACAAAGAAAACGGGTGGCCCCGAGTGTTTTGCTTAATGTCGGATTAAATCGCGCGAGGCGAACGCGGTCCAGCGTTTGGAAAGAATTTATGCGTTTGTTTACAACAAAAGTCCCCGTCTCGCGTTGAACATTCCGCTTTTTCCGCGAGACCGTCGAGCGACGAGTTTCAAAAGTGCCCCCCTTTCCCTCCGTCCGCGCTGTAACAGGAAGTAATGTATGACGTCCCAGTTTACCAGGGATATACGTATTTTCGTGCACGTACAGATACATTTTTCGGCGTGGCAACGCGCGTGTCGCGCGTCGACAATTTATGACGGCCCTTATCGACGTGACCGTGTGGCGTAGCGAGATCAAAAATCAAGCTAATGCGCCGTATCTACTTTCCGGTTTTTCGCGACTCGTGTCGGAACGACACGACAAGCGTTGACAACGAGAGAAATGCGCGACATCAATCTGTTTACGTAAAAATAAAAAACACGGTTGTACGCGGAGTAACTCGAGAATGCCACTTTATGTTTATTTCTAAATATGTTTGTTCCGCGCGTCTCGAGCTCTCAACGCGAACGTTACCAGTCGGGGTAAACGATCGATTTTTAGCCACGTAATAACGATTCTTCGAATTTTGATTTGATTAATTATTTTACATAGTAAGGTCCAAAAGTTTCCGGTCCAAGGATATATAATATAAAATGTAATAAAATGAAACGATCATTTTCATTTCTTATTCTAATCACACTTTATTTCAATACATTTTTTTAAAACAAAATTAATTTTATTATACTAAAAAATATTTTGAATTTTTGTCCTTGAAATAATTTAACACTGTAAAGATTATTTCTTCATCGTGAATACATTTTTTGTGAACATACAAATCGGACTTCAATTATAAAAATAAAATATAGTTAGAAAATAAAAAACAATTTTCAAAATTGAAGTCCAATTTGCGAGGAAAAAAATTGATCAGTGATGAAGTGATATCCGCAGTGTCATCTCACTTTAAAGACAAAAATTCGGAATTTTTTGGTACAGAAAAATTTATTCATCGTTTTAAAAAATAGATTAGAATAAAGAATAATAACATTAACAAATAAAAATAGCTTCATTTTTTTCTCTTTTTTATATCTTTAAGCCGAAAACTTTAGGCTCTCATTACTTGCTATTAGATTTTTGTCTCCTTACATTTTGCATAAAATTGCATCGCCATGCATTGACATATTATTACGTTCCCCTCAAATGAAACGTAACTATATTCCAATCACCTGCGATCGACGCGTGCGTCACACGCAAATACGACGATATCGAAGCAAACGACTGGCAGGCATGCTTCAAAGAGCCAAGTTCCAGCAAGCGCATCCATGTACGAAACTTCGACTGACCTGTATGATGCGCAGAATGAGCGTGCTGTTCTGGAAGTCGTACTCGAGACTGAAGTGGATCTGGCCAACATTCTCGCTCGGTTCCGAATTATCGATGTACATGTCGACCAAGGAGATGGACCTGCTCTGTAGAAACGCTTTCTGCAACACACAGATCGCCAATGCGATGATTACGTTTCTCTTCTGTTTCTGTAAGAGGTGGCCTCGAGATTCTTAGAATTCAAATGTATTTTGCTGGGAAGAATACGTGCAGTTAGAGAGAGAGAGAGAGAGAGAATTTGTACCAAAACGCAATTTTCTTAAAATTGTATTACAAAAAAGAGATCTGGGGTCGAAAGAATTAACTGTCGTTAAATTTCACGTTTGTCTCCAACACGCGAAAATTCACCGTCTCTATATCAGGCTGCAATGTGTGCGATATCAACTCAATTATGTTGCAAGAGCGTAAATGCATTTTGTCGTAATTACAGATCAGTTTCTACATTAAACAATATTATGTTGCTTATATACGTTGTTGCGATTAATCTCAATTTTACTTTTAGAATATAACATCATGGCAGTTTCCAATTACATATACAGAGTTAATAGTAATTGCTTTTTGATGATTGATTTCTAGCTTTAAAAAAAATAATTGTCCTCCATTTTGGACAATTTAAGGTCTAAAAGTTTCTGACTCAAGTATATAGTAAAACAAATAATAATAAAATAAAACAAATATTTTTATTTTTCAATATAATTTATTTCAATATATTTTTTTAGAACGGTGAATTAATCTTTCCATACTTTCTTCATCACTAATAAATCTTTTTCACGCAAATTAAATTTCAATTTTAAAAATAAAAACAATTACTAGAGGGACTGTAGACGAAGAGATCTCCACAGTATTAAACCATTTTAAGAACAAAAATTCAGAATATCTTTTTAGCAATGTAGGAAAATTAATTCGTCATTCTAAAAAAAAACGTATTGAAATAAAGGATTATACTGAAATATAAAAAGAATCGTTTTATTTGATCACCTTTTTTTTATATTCTTGGACCAGAAATTCGGACCGTGGATCTTACTATGTATAATTCGCATTAGAATTCAGAACAGAATCTTATTTATAAATTAATGTTTAATATATCGCAAAATTATGTAAACTATTTTTATAAAAAAAATTCAGAAAAGCACGTTTAAAAAAAAATACATATATAAAAAATATATTTACATTATGTATCAAGATATACGGTATATAAAGTTGCAGATAAATTTCCATCCTGAAATCTGAGACGGCAAATTGGATTGTACGAGGTGTGCTTTGCGATGGTCTTTGAGATTATCTCGTTATCATAATTGATAGCCGCGACGTCGTCGCGTCGAAAATCAAGATGAGCTTTAGAGGGTTTACCGAGGGGTGATCTCCTTTGACATTTTGCAGTTGCTTGTTCTGCGGCCCGGTGGTGGGTGTACGGGGTTCCGCGCTTCCGGCATTGCTGGCGCCGCTTCCTGGTGCCGCTGTTGCTCCTGCCGCGCCGCTCGCGGGTCCGCCGCTACCACCTGCCGGAGACTTGCTAGAGGGACTACCGGTCGTCCTGGAAAAAAAAAAGACACGAAATTCGTTTCGTTACGTCGTCCACTTTCGCATTCACTCTCGATGTCACATCTTTTTCTTTTCTCCTCTTCTCGTCTCCCCTCACTTCTAAACAGAGCGGTGTCGTCGCAGAATCGCCTGGGACAGCGTTGAAGAGATACCAAAGCGACACTTGACAATGTTTATTCGTTTTATTAGTTTCCAAGGTCTAATTATTACCAAGAAAGGCTCATAAATGTTTAAATGTGATATATAATTCATTTTAAATGTGGCATACTTGTCGTTACTGTCATATCATTTCTTTTACGTAATTACTAAAGGGAATAAGCTTCTCATGCTCATCTTACGTTACTTTTCGTTTTCTTTTTTCTTACAAAATTCCTTTCAAGACGTTGATCTATATATTCTCAACAAACAGATATTCCAACTCGCACGCACGGCATAGTTTTTATTATTAAGCTGTATTATAATATTGTTATGAGAATATATTAAATATTCAATCGAATCAAATATCCGATTAATTAATCCAAGAATCACGAAGAGCGGAAATTGCGCGATTCGTTCAATCACGACCTGTGCGAGCGTTCATACAATTACATCTATCGCCCACAAATTGTGCTTCTGACAATTGCCCCGCCCCCCATTTCGTTTTACACGACGCTAAATTAGCATAAAAATCTAACGAGATAAATATTGCCATTGCAGCAGTGGAGATAACGCTTTAGAAACCGGCCCGATTGATTCGAAGCTCGATTGCTGACAGTGAGGGGGGGATGGCAGGGGGGTTCTTGTTCGTCCCCCCCCCCTCTCTGTGATGCATGCACAGGCTTATCAACAGTGACAACGTACATCCCAGCGATACGTTTCTGTAACGTACGTTAGGCATAATAGGCGACCTAGGGATCTAGATAAATCTTATCGCTCCGACTACTGTATCGCATCTACTGCGAGCACACTATGCTGCTAATCGAGACAGCATTCTCTCGCAGGCACGCAAGCCGATACGCTTCCAGCATGTCGTCGGCTTATTAATAGTTGCTGTTTACTACCAGTCGCGACTGCGGAGCGTCCATAATTGTGCAGAAACGGCTGAAGCCATGGCAGGAGAAAAAATGAATTTACGGCATGTATATTAAAAAAAAGAGGGGAGGGGGTGAAGGGCAAAAAAAATCGATGCAAGTGTGCAGGCTGAGAATTGCTCAAGTACGGAGAAATGCTCGCCTGTTCTCTACGGATGGGGTAAAAAGGATTTATCGCAAGTCTCACAAAAGGTAAGGTGATTACGTCATTCGGCAATGTCAAGGTGTGCTCTTGTTATAGGTATACGATATTGAAGTATTCGGATCGTACATAATGTGTGCTCAAGCTTCCATGAATGTATAAATCACGCAAGAACATTGAAGAATAACTATTCATACGTACCGTATGCAAATTAATATCGTATATCGAACTCCAACGAAACGAAGTGAAAAACTATTCTGCTAATCAGCCGTAGTAGACATAACGAACGCGTATTGCACGCGTTCGTTAATATTATACCAATTATATTCGTTATACCCGTAGAGCATTCGCATGCTTCACCTATAAGCCCCAATTTGTGCGGATATATATTTAAATAATCTGCAAATCCGTTCACATCATTTGCACAGCGTTGACGTAACAGCCGAGATAACCCACATTGTTTGTGCAAAATGCAAAAAATGCAATCCCGTGCTTTTTACGCATTTCACAGAAAATCAATCACGTCATTGAACCGTAACGTCTATCTCTCACCTGTATGTACACGAAAAGGGAGAAATACACATTCGCATAAATTCCTTTTATCCGATTAAAGGGAGCTCTCATGCGCAACGGATATATTTCACCGGATCGGCGAGAGCTCTCTTATTTACCGCGATTCTCTATTCATAACTCATAAATAAGAATGAGGGAAAATCCGAGCACGGAAAGAACGTCCCCGTTGTCGATGTATATTAGGAGAGTGCATCGCGAGACACTTGGAAACACAGCAGTCGGCATAAATTTAGATGGCCGGTCGTCGCCGCGTATCAAAACGACTTATTACAAAAATTGCTACTTCGCGCAGGGATATGCGTTTCTTTTAAACGAAACGCTATAATTGCGAAGTGAGAACCACACGACGGAATTAAGATTCCGTTTAGGGGGACCACGAAAATTTTGCTAATATTGACGAAATGCGCGTTGACTCGCCCTACATCGCTGGGAGATACTTGCTGAGTGTTAAACATGTCTCTATCCCTACGAAAATTACGCTGCCTGCATGTCTCTGTGTTCCGATACAGAATGAATTCGGTGAGATGATACGTGTATTCAATTTACAAGAAATTGAATGAAAGAGAGACTTAGAGAATTAAAAAATTAAAAAATATTGGGAACCATTAACCCCCATAAGCTAAAACTAATTTCCTCATCCTAATTTGTATGTTAATTAAAATATATATTCGCGAAATTATACAATAATAAAATCAAATAAATTATAATTAAATTTATTAATTATCACTGCCAGTTATTATTTTCAATCTAACGGAATATTCCAAAATGTCAAGGGGTAAAAAAGACACATAATCTTCTTTCCCAAATTAGTGTTAAATTAGCCAAAAAGAGTCTACCATTATTAAAAATATAATACAGCAGAAATGGGACGACGCTGTAAATCTTACGAAACTTTATATATCGCAGACATTCTTCCTTAAAATACGAACTTTCTGCAATCAAAATAACCCGCGATTTAACCGTTAATTGCAAATTCCGATTTGTCGCTAATTGCTCGATATTGTTTCAATATTACAGCCAATTCTCGACAACTGTGTCACGGACGATAATTACCGTAAGACTTCACCGCCTCATTAATATACCCCGCGGGCAAACGGGAAAATTTAGGTGTACGGATTCGCCCCCCGACACCGCTTTCACAAACCGCCCGGACGCGCTTGTGCCGGGCGCACGAGAGAGTTTCGGATCTGTAATTCGAACTAACGCGGCAAGTGTGCGCGACATTTAAGCGCATTTGCAAAAGGTTAAGGGCGATACAATAGGTAAATCGTGCCGGGCGATAACGGAAACGCCTGCGACACGTTGTTTTCAGCCGTGCCACGACAACGCGTAACTAGAAACCGTATACAGGATTCAACCGGTCCCGAGCGGATGCACAGCTGGAGAGGCTCATTGTATTCCAGCCCGGTGAGTGAATGGCGACCGCGCGCGCTCGCGGAACTAAGTTTTATGAGAACAGTGCGGCAGAAGTTTCACCGCGCGGTGTGTACTCGCTATTTATCAGCTCTTGCCGCGTAAATAGCATAATGCGCGAACTCGCGTTCAAAAATTCTGAATCCGAAAGAGAGAATCGCGCGATAATGAGGAAGTCGCGTCTGAGGAAAATCAGCACCGACAGAAATCAGATTTGGTCCCTCCAGCGTCGTAATTAATATCGATCGTAATTAATTTCGTCCCAGATTACTTTAACTCCAAATAAAAGTACAGAATTGTTACGGAGAACTCTCCTGGAGATCTTTTTACTTCGTCTAGCGAGATTTTATTTTTTTTTTTTACTTCGTTAAGTGAGATTTCATTTTGTTTCTTTTTTTTTCACTTTGTCCAAGTAAGATTTTATACCAGTTACAATTAATTCCTATTCGTACATGCAACGTCTTTCATCCGAAGCATTATTGTAACACACGATCGAATGATGTTGGACTCGAAGCTATTAAAAAATGTCGAAAAATTGTATATCCATGTGACGTCAGCAGCAGAAACATTTGTATCGTAAATGCTGTTAGTCCGACGTCGCTGGCCGTATAAACAAGATCCTTCGTATCTGTTCGACGGCACAGGCGTGTATTTACGTATGTATTGTGCGTGTATTTATGCAGGCGGAACAATAACACAGTGCGGTCCGAGAGTAAAGAATAAGGTAAATCCAGTAGCGATCGGGACACACCGATTGAACTGGACTTTTCCTCGAGCAGAAAGCGCTATCACTACTAATTAAGTAGACGGTGAGAAAGAGCTTGACAGTATACGGTAGCAGACAGGCATATAGAAGACATAGAGTAAGTTCGAAAAGTAGTATAGAGAGTGTGGAGTTTGGCGTGAACACAAACGCCGACTACAGACAAGACAAACATCAGCGCGGTCGCGTAGTACGTAGTCATCGGATGCTCATCGACGGGCACAAGACGGAAAGAAGCCATAAAAAACGAAGCTTCTCCTCCGACGGAGACGATGGGGTACTACTTACGCAGTTAAAGTAGCGCCGATCACGCACAGCGGACAGTGTAATCCGTTAGAGAAGAGAAATCGGAAGAGAAGATATAGGGAAGAGAAGAAGTTAAATCAAGCGCAGCATAGAACAATGAATCGTTCGTTAAAAGTGTCGCATTTTAACGTCGCACAAGTCGCTCATACTTACTCTAATTGCGCTCTGCGGTTCCGTTCGTTACAGTGAAACGGGGCATGAAACAGAAAAAGATCAGTGATTAATTAATTAACTGGACACACGTACGCACACAGGCACAACACGCCGCACGACGAAATGAGCGACAGAGTTCGTGACATCGGCAAGGGAGCGGAGCG